TGAATTGACCAATTTTCTATTTATTGCAAAAAAATTCACTTTATTTTTAAGTTAAACAGATCTCTAGTTTTTAACTAATTTCTCATTGGTTCAGAAATCTTTTAAAACAATATGATGAAGACTATAAAGGAAATTGATTCTTGAAGAAGTATAATTAGACAACCTTAGCAAGTCAGAAAAACTGTTGCAAGCTGGAGCCTTCAGTTTACCGATTTGCGACTGAGTTAGTTTGAATCTTTCAACCAACTGGAGCCTTAGTCGTTAAGTGATAGTTAATAGCTTAAATGACTCTTGTATTGTGTCTATAAATAGCATGGTTAGGTGATAGAAAAGCAAGTCTCTCGAGAGTGTAAAAGGAGAAGAGAAAGTGAGAAAGAGAGCTACGAATAGTGAGCTTGAGAGTGAGAAAACTCTGTAATTTTGCAGCAGAAAGTGTAGATTGGAGAGGAACCTATATGGAAATTCTTTCTACTGATTCATGTAATTGAATGAATGTAATCTTTTGTGAATAAAGATTGAGGAAGAAGAACTCTTCCTGTTACCAAAATCTACTTTGTTTTTCCTTCTACTGGTTTGTCAATTCTGTTTCGTTTTGCTGGTGACATTTTTTTCTACAATTCTTGTACCGATCTTGGAGCTCTGGGAAAGATAAATCCACAATAAGTGGTATCAGAGCCGGTTTCGAAGCATACAAGAATTAAAGAGATCTAAAAATTCTGTCATCAAATTTTCCTGATAGTTAGCTTATAAACTATTGAAAGAAGAATCATGGCCGGATCCTTGCTCTTACATGTCAACATCTAAGTTTGAAGTGGAAAAGTTTGAGGAGAGAGAAGATGATGGCACACCTTGACAATCTTGGGTTGGAAGAAGCTTTGACAAAGTAATCTGAAATCAATGCTTCAACTAAGGCTGACATCTTGAAGAAGGCAAGACATACCATCATCCTTACCCTCTCTGATACAATTTTAAGGTAATAAAGGAGAAGACAGACTTTGAAATGTGGAGCAAACTAGAGGAGCTTTACTTGACTAAAGCTTTGCCAAACTGAATCTATTTGAAGCATAAGTTCTATAGC